CACATATTTATATTCATCTGCTTATAACTACAAGATCTTTGCCTTAAAATATGGTTGAAAAATATCTGAATTTCTTTCTTTCTTGTGTTATAACTTATCATACAGTTTTAGCGCTTTAACAAAATCCAGTATCTGAGACGGTTTTAAAGAGGTTAGTTCTCCATCTCCGATATTAGTCGTACCAAAGTTTATGGCAAGAATGGGTGTCGTCTCGACATACTCAGTGATGATGAGGTGTTCTGGTGTTTCCCCATTTTCTCCACAGAATATGCATTCGCAGTTGATTCTTAGCGTTAATCTACTGAGGTGTTCATTGAGGACACAGTGTCAATCCGAAGATTGTTCTTACTTAAATCACAGCTTAAATCATGGAAAACTACTCTATAGGCATTCTTTGACCAATACTTATAATGGTTACCAACGAAATTATGGTTCAAATAGTAATAACTAATAGTAATATTTTTTTATAATAATTCTTGTAAAATATTTCCCAGAGTAATATAAGAATAATCTTAAAGTCTGGATGAAATGCTGGTACTGATAACATGTTCCATCAAAGTTTGAAGCCATTGATGGCTTCTTGTAAACTCTCTGGTATTATAACCTTTAATTATTTTATTTGTAACTATATTGTCATTATTTTTATCGAAAAATTAGTTAAAAATTGAAACAAATAACATAGTATCAGCTGTTTAGGTTCTCCCTCAACAGAAGTTGTTGCTTTTCCATCTCACTTTAATAGAGTAATGTTGCAATTGAGTACAAACTAATGACTGTTCATTTTGTAATGTAACAACCCAAATTCGTCAACAAAGTTGACGAGGTAATATTTTGGCCAGCTGTACAACAAGAAATTTAAAAGAAAGAAAAGAACCTACGTAGTGTTAAATATTTTTTTATTGTGATTACCTCGGATGCGCCTGGACAGAAGCAATATTTTGGGAAATTTGAGGAGAATAGGTTATGTAAATGAAACGCTAAATTTGTAAATAGCCCTACTTGTTTTATTAAATGAAATGAAAGGAGTGCCGTACTCTGCCTGGAATTTACATGTAAAAGAGTACGGCAGAGAAAACCATGATCACAATTCCAGAGAATCCAACTATGCTGTTCTGAACTTAAATAAAGAGAAATAATAATAATATAGAAACTGTCCTCATACCTAGGTTTATAGTTTAATACATTGAAAACATGCCACATTTATATCGTTCAAAACTGAAGAGTTTTTTGTTAGTTTTTGACGGGTCCTCACCCGTAGGTAGGCAGTCCCTTGTTGCGGAATCGACGCTAATATATTAAAGTCTTTATTTGTTTTTACTGATTTCTCTATTATAGTATCGTGATTGCTAACTTTTTAAACGACTCTCGTAGGCACTTAACACCAGCATAGCGCTAGTCGGTCTAATAAAAAAAAGTGATTTAATATTTCGTTGTTTTGATTTACTGGCTAGATGCTGTCACAGTTTATTAAGTCACGCTTCCATGTGTATGTCTCGAGCAGCTCGCTGCTAAACCCATTTCGGTAGTACTGTAGAAATTACCTGGGTACTGTTAATCTGTACCAGCACATAAATTTCATTTTCTGCTACGCCGGACACGTGAGAGGTTCTGTCGAAATTTATAGTGATTGTTAGAACCGAATTACACGGGCAGATTGTTTCTGTATTCGCTAGTTTAGATAGGGAAACGCTGTAAGATCCTGATGGTGAAAATGATAGAAGTAAACAGGAATTCTAGAGTGACTTTTTATCATGCACACCTCGTATACAGGGTGGTCCAAATTGTATTCCGGAAACTTCGGCAGAATATTCTGCAGATAAAAATTAGTAAAAAAGTTCGTATAAATGTATGTACTAAAATAAATAAGTACAGTAATTAAAATACCAGCAAAGCCATAAAGGCTCTCATGATATGCAGAAGACTGGCCGGAAATAGATGGGGCTGCTCCTCTAACATTTTGCGCTGGATGTATACCATGATAGTAAGACCCATGATTACTTATGGAGCAGTTGCCTGGTACACAAAACTAGAGCAACGGACGGCAAGGCTAAACCTATGCAAAGTCCAGAGACTAGCATGTGTTTGCATCACAGGAGCCATGAGAACCTGTCCAACAGCAGCAATGGAGGTCATTCTAGATCTAACACCACTGCACATTGTCATTGGTAGATATGCCAATGCGAAATGATTAGAATGGTCACTAACGGAATTAGTACTGGGAGAATTGTCAGATCAGGGGCTTGGAACACCCTCAAAAAGGAAGTACCACTCCTGCAACTCCCAGTGGACGATATGCCAAGAACGTACAACTTTGACAAACATGTCAATGTAGTATTGAGCAATAAGAAGGATTGGAAGAGCGAAACGCTTGCCCATCAGTTAAAAGACCATACCATAACTTGGTATACTGATGCTTCCAAATCCAATACGGGAACAGGGATCGGAGTGTTTGGGCCGAGAGCTAATTACTCCGAACCAATGGGCCCTAGTATCCTACAGGCAGAAATCTACGCTATCGAGAGATGCGTACAACTTATCTTAGATAGGAACTATCGGACACAAGAAATAGCCATCTTATCTGATAGTCAAGCAGCGTTAAAGGCGATCAACTCAGTATCAATCGATTCGAAATTGGTCAAAGAATGCTTAGAGAAGCTGAATAAATTAGGCAAAGAAAACAAAGTCCTCCTACACTGGGTGCCTGCTCACCAAGGGATAGAAGGCAATGAAAAGCAAATAATCTAGCTAGGAAAGGAGCGAACACTCCACTAACTGGACCAGAACCGTTCTGCTTTCCAAGTGGTAACCAACTCAAGGCGGAACTCAAGAACTTGGAAGATTCCATCCGCAACCTGGAATGGAAATCTTGCAATGGTCTAGGACACTCGAAGAAGTTTCTGAGGGCTTATGATCAAGAAAAATCAGAGATCTTCCTGGGTCTGAGTAAGAACAATCTTCGGATTGTCACGGGGTTTTTAACAGGACACTGTCTCCTCAATGAACACCTCAGTAGATTGAAACTAAGAAGAAACGGCGAATGCAGGTTCTGTGGGGAAGATGGTGAAACACCAGTACACCTCATCACTGAGTGCGCCGAGACGACAACCATTCGTGCCATGAATTTTGGTACGACTGATATTGGAGATGGAGAACTACCCTCTATAAAACCGTCCCAGATACTGGCTTTTGTCAAAGCCCTGGGACTGTATGATGAGTTATGACTCAAGAAAGGGGGACACAATGGATCTGTAAGGTCGAAGTGATTACCCCCCCTCCCACTCATTCTAAATTCTAAAAAAATTCTAAAATGTACTAAAATGCTTAGTTTCGGAGATACAGGGTGTACCTAGAACTTTCATTTTTATTTCGATTTTTTCGAAGTAAAATTAATTCTTTGTGGTGTGTATGTGATATTTTGTGACTATATTTGTTTGACAATTTTGTTTATAATGGGCGTTGTTTACTGCTGTGTTCCCGGCTGTTTAGGCAATACGGAGGCTGATATGGGTCTTAGCTTCTTTTCATTCCCATTGGGTCCAAAAAGATACACAAATATTTTTTATCTACACAATAAGGAATGTTTCCTCTAGAATTTTAGACAATCTAGTAAGATTTTTTAGAAATTCTAATGTTTTTGACAGTAATGATATTTGTTGACTATTTCCATTCTAAATATCTTCAGAACGGTTGCTCCTAGCGATTTTTGCCAAGAGACATTTTTTACGTAAAAGTTACGGAAATGTATAATTTTTTACTCATTATTTATATACAGACACGGACGAAAAGTTATTACTCTTCAAAACTGTTAAAACACATGTAGGTGGCACCCTCTACAAATAGGAGTCATATTGACATCAAAATCAAATTTCTCACGTCAGAAAACTCCCAGACACCAACTTTTATCCAAATATTGACGGTACTTCAGAAATTATTTGGAAAAATTCGAAATAAAACTGAAACTTCTATACCCTGTATCTCCGAGACTAGGCATTTTAGGGCATACATTTATACGAACTTTTTTACCTATTTTTATCTGCAGAATATGCTGCCAAAGTTTCCGGAATACAGTTCGGACCACCCTGTTTAAATAAAAATAAAAAAAAAAATAAAAAAAAGTAAAAAAAAAATAAAAAAAAAATTTAAAAAAAATAAAAAAAATTAAAAAAAATAAAAAGAAATCATTTTTTTTGTAAATCATTTCGTACTTAATTTATTTTTAAGTTATCTTTTTCAATAAAATTTCAATTCTATTTTGAATTTCTTGTTATTAGCAAGCAATTTTATAATGTTTTTCTTTTCTTTTTGTTTCAGATACATTCATCGTTCTGCAACAACTTCCAAGTATAGGTAAATAATTTAAATAAATATGCAATTTCTACACACTGATAAGTTAATTATTCGCGAAGGTGAATTAAGACCAAACTGGTTCAAGATCAATAAAATATTCGTAGTGGCAAGTCCAATCGTAACCGGCTAGATTTTCCCATCGCTATTTTGCTTTTCGCCTTTTTTGCATCGCGGACAAATCAGCTTTCTAAATTTTATTAATTGATACAAATCTGTTATTTATCGAATGCTAAATACGTTTTTCTTATGTGGTTCTTATGGGAAAAAAATCTGATCGATGGAATTTCGATGATACCTTTTTATATACAGGGTGTTTCAAAAAACATGTGCCATTTTTCGTGGGGAGATTTTCGGCCATGAAAGAGAGTTTTGTCTTATCTGTTTTATATTATCTGTTTTTGAACGACCACAAAGCCATACAGAATAAATAAATATATTCTTTACCCAACACATTTCAAAGAATAAGTAAACAAATCAGAATATTATGTAAATTCACCAGATAAACAAATAATATTCTTGTCGCACATCTAGAGTACATACAGAGATGAGGAAAGAGCAATACATAATATGCGATGTTGACATAGCATATTAGCACATTAGCAAATAGGAATATTAAATTTGCAAGGTTGACTCTTCTGTGTGTGTAGGTAATAATAATTCATAGATCAAGCATCAAGGATCCACCGCAGAACATGACTATTAGTTTCAGTTGATTGTAGTATATCGTTGAGAAAAAATGCCGAGTTTTGTATTATACATATATAAGTAAATGTCAAAGTGATGTGATATATGAATATATGTGTTATTTTAAAAGTTATTGTGATATGTACAGGTGTGTTTATAGGTGTTGTTAGTGTAAAGTATGGATTGTTTTGTGGATATGTTTTACTCCTTGCCTGTTAGCAGTGAAGTAAGTAGTTTTAGAAAACTTTTTTGTAGAAAAGGAAGGTACCCAGGACATACAAACCAAATTTAGTATAGTACGACTTTTTTTGAAACTTTAGTTTCGGAGATATAAATTTAATCGGACCTTTTAAAAAAAATAATTTTTTTTCAGAAACTATTTGAGACAGAGTTTACCAAAAATGCTTTTTATAACTACTACCGGGTAAATGAATTTCTAGTATAGTATGACTTTTTTTGAAACTTTAGTTTCGGAGATATAAATTTAATCGGACCTTTTAAAAAAAATGATTTTTTTTCAGAAACTATTTGAGTCAGAGTTTACCAAAAACGCTTTTTATAACTACTACTGGGTAAACGAATTTCTATATATGATTATTATATTATTATTATGATTTTAGTATTATTAAAGACGTTTTTTTTCTATGAATATTTCAGAATTAAAAAATCATATATGTGCGTGAATTTTGGGCTTTTAAAATTTATTTTGACAGCACCACATTTGTTTATTTAAAAATGAAAGCTTCGCAGATTTTGCTTTGATTGCATACATATTTAAGTTTTACCTTTTTTTTTGTGAAAAATTTGGATTTGGACGCTGTGAGACTTTTTTTTATACAAGCAAGACAAAACTTTTGTGCGATGGAACATATAAAGTGCATGATTTGTGAAATTTACTGCAAAAATGTAAATATAATGTAGCGTAACAACACATGTTCGTCAACAAAGTTTAACCGGTCTCCACCCGTAGGTACGAAGTCTCTGGTTGCGGAGATCGACGCTAAAGTTGAAGTTCTGTTACCGTTTGTACCGTTTATAATTTTCCAAATTTCTATACCGTTTTACAGAAAATTAAAAAAAAAGCATGAAAATTGAATTTTCCTAAAAGAAGTCCTAAAAATCAGAACGCGTTTTTATTTTTGGTAGATTGTTTTAGTAATTAGTAGTTATTTTCCTGTTTTTCTTAATTTTCTCTAAAACGGTATGGAAATTTGGAAAAGTATAAACAAGCAAAATTTTTTATGAAGAATGCATTTTTCTCAAAATATCAATAATAAAAAAGTTTTTCTTCTTGTAAAGACAATCCGGGGACATACTGTATATAAGTTTCTTAAAACTGCGATTTTTAAGGATTTTTTTATTATAATTAATAAAAGCACATTAATTTAAATCAATCAATATAATTAATTATTAATTTAGGTCGTTTGGCTAATGTAGCGGTTCAAAAAAAAATAAAACAATGTTGCCCATAACCAGCTAAGCATTTCCCGATATGGCCTTGCGAAAAGAATGAAAACTGTGAATTTGCGTACAACAATTAGTTAAAAATTATGTCATTATTGAATTGGAAAAGAACCCAAAAAAATACAGTTACCTACCTGACCCACAGAGTTTACGTCATTTGCATGTGGTAGCCTACATTGAGCCCAATTTGCAAAGCAATTTGCCAAAATGGGGCTACGTGACAAAATTCAGAAAAGTTTTAATTAGGGTTTTAATTAAAAGGAACGCGCCATTTTGACATGATTAGATTATTAAAAAATAATTAGCCTGCTTGTAAATTATTCGGCGACCTTCGATTTCACGCTGGTTTCAGTATATAGAGTGTTTGAAATAATGATTTGTTTTTCTTTAAGACGATTTCTTAAATGTATTTGAAACATTTATTTAGCAAATATTCTACTATGACATTTTTCGCCTTGTAGTCCAAGAAAATAGGCTCTCAAATACGTAAAAACTTAATTTTTTAAATTTAGTAAAAACTTGAATTTTTGATATAAGTTACTTTGAAAGATCTGAAAACGAATTGTGAAAGATTTCTTTAAATTCACCATAAAATGGTATTTTATCGTCGACCGGAAAAAATTAATCCCTTTGTAAATATTATATATTATACTAATATATAAAATCCTTCAGTGACTGACATACCTACTGATTAATCACGATCCTGCTCAAACCACTCAACGTAACATGCTCAATTTTGGCATACAGGTTGATTCTAGGGTGTAGAGGTTCGATAAGAAGGGATTTTTCGAAATTCCAGTTCCAAGAGGGTGAAACCACCCCTCAAATATTACAATATTTTTTTTAAAAAAACGGTCAAGTTTCCGAAAAAAAAAACGCTTAAACACGTATATTTTATTTTGTTTCTTTTACATATTTTAAGATTTTTTAAAAATGTATACAGAGTGTTTTGAAAAATCTGGTCATTGATTAATCACGATCCTGCTTAAAGCGCTTGACGTAAAAAGCTGATTTTTGGAAAGCGGATTGACTTTAGGGTGTAAAGGTTTCTTGCTTTGTTTTATCATCACCATTACAAAGGATTAATTCGACGCGAACCAAGTCGCGGGTACACGCTAGTAAATTGAATAAAAATGTTAAATATATGAATTTTTCAGTAACTTTTTTTTTAAATTCCTACTAGCATCCTCTAGCCACCCTATCTTGGTTAATTTTGATTTGAGCAAAAAAGTATAGAGGTCATTTTTATGTACAGGGTTGTTCACCACATACGACACGGAGTATTGTAACTAAACGATGAGATTTTTACAAATTGTAAGTTTGGGGTTCGTTGAAGGACTATTAGAGCTACAATTTAAAAATATTTTTACAAGATACAGAGTGTCCCAAATAAATAAAAAATATCAAATTTTTATTTTTTTAAATGGAACACCCTGTATATTATTACATTTTTAGTTTCTATGATTAAAATAAAGGTAAATTCGATTAAGGTTTATTACACTTAAACCTTACCGTTTTTGAAATATTTTCAATTTTGTGAAATTGCAGTAAAAATTTTAAAGCTTCATTTCTCCAAGGGTATCAATGTTTTTAATACTAAATATTTAATGAAGTTTATTTATTGATCAGTTATTGTGTTGCAATAATAAAAATAATACTACCTTATACAGAGTGTCTAAAAATTTATTTTAAATAATTATTAGCTTCAAACGGCAATAATTTCTTTAATTTAAATGGAATGCCCTGTATATTTTAGGAGAATCAGATGCACAATTAAATTGTCTATCAAATTGTATTATACCATTTTTTACCTATCCCTTCAAGTTTTCGTAGAAAATGCATTTTTTTATAATTTAGACCTCATTTATCAATATATCCATGGAATATTGACATTTTAGATTGTTTTTAAAGCAACAAATGTACAAAATGTACAGACTAGTAATATTATCGTTTTTAGCAAAACGATAATATTACTAGCCCATTTGTATGCAAAAAGAAAACTATTTAAATCTTTATAAAAGAGTATACCATTAATTAAATATAACACCATTATTTGCGCCCATATACTAATTAATTACATACTTAATTGTGTTCGTTATTAAATTATTATAAATAAATGTGGATTTGAGTCAGAAATCAATATAATAATAAGTTATCAAATTAAAGTCTCTGTAGTTATAAATAAGCATTTATTAAAAAATGAAATATCATTTTTAAGGTGTTACTTTTTATCACACTGTCTAATGCCCATACAAAATTCAGTTTTTTAGTATTTGGAGCAATTATTATTAATCAAAGCAAACAGTCAGTTAATGTTGTTTGAATACTGGAATCATATTAACTGATCCTCTTTAACAAATATTTAAACAGTTTTTTTTTATTTTTTAATGAAATAACGAATTATATCGATAATATTAGTATCTGTACTCTTTAAAAATTTGGTACATCTTTAAAAATAATCTAAAATGTCAATAGTCCATGGGTATATTGATAAATAAGTTCTAAATTACAAGAAAATGCATTTTCTACGGAAACTTAAAGAGATAGGTAAAAAATGGTATAATATAATTTGATAGACATATAAATTGTGCATCTGATTCTCGTAAAATATACAGGGTGTTCCATTTAAATTAAACAAGTTATTGCCGTTTGAAGCTAATAATTATTTAAAATAAATTTTTAGACACTCTGTATAAGGTAGTATTATTTTTATTATTGCAACACAATAACTGATCAGTAAATAAACTTCAGTAAATATTTAGTATTAAAAACTTTGAAACCCTTGGAGAAATGAAGCCTTAAAATTTTTACTGCAATTTCACAAAATTGAAAATATTCAAAAACGGTAAGGTTTAAGTATAATAAACCTTAATCAAATTTACCTTTATTTTAATCGTAGAAACTAAAAATGTAATAATATACAGGGTGTTCCATTTAAAAAAATACAACTTTGATATTTTTTACTTATTTGGGACACTCTGTATCTTGTAAAATTATTTTTAAATTGTACCTCTAATAGTCCTTCATCGAACCCAAAACAATTTGTAAAAATCTCATCGTTTAGCTACAATACTCCGTGTCGTATGTGGTGAACAACCCTGTATAATTGGACGTTCTACAACTTTTATTTGAACTTTTTTTTCTAGTTCTTACAGTTTCTCGGAAATTTTGAGAAAATAATTTTATTTTTTTATTTTTTTCTCCGGGGTGAATTTAAAAAAAAAAAGGTTTCACAATTCGTTTTTATATCTTTCAAAGTAACGTATATGAAAAATTCAAGTTTTACCAAAAAATTACGAAGTTTTTGCCTTATTCTTGGACTACTAGTCCAGAAATGTTTTTCTGTGTCATATGATAAAAAAAAACCTTGTTTAATGGGAAATATAATTATTTTGCGAGATTCGTTGCGACTTAACTATGTTATAACTGTGACGGAGTTGGAGAAACAAAGTCTTCGGGCGTGCGCTGGTTCTTGTAACTGTACATCTTCTTCGTGATTCGAAATTATGGCTAAATCGTTTCCTTAATACGAGCGGACGGCCGTTATATTAGCGGCGACATCATCGGATCTCCGCTCATAATTTTATAAATATCGTCTCTCCGGCCTCACGAGAGAACCGTTTCGTTCGGCCATTGTTATCTCTAATTCAAAAGACGATCCGCGAATCATGACAAAGTCTTTTCCAACCACGTTTTGCAATTTTTTTTGTCAGTTCTAAATCGAGACAGATTTTTTTGTTAGAAACTGTATAGAAGGATATC